GTTATGTGTCTGGACATCACACTGATGCACTGACAGGGCGCAGGTTCATTTTCATTTCCTCAATGGGGAGGAGTTCATATCCCTTCAATATTGATTTCTAAAAATAAACAAAATGGCAACATGACCAACGTGACTTGCATCACAAGTATTTATTAAACCATGATTTAGATCAAGATAAACAAGCAACCTTAAGTGCAGGGGCCAATGTGAAAGTGTTAAACAAACATGAGATTCGGTTCGAATCCCGCATCCGACGGCCCTTTACTGCATGTCATTCCCCCTCTCTCTGCCCCCTGCTTCCTGTCTCTCTTCAACTGTCCTGTCCATTTAAGGCATAAAAAGCATAAAAATATTTACTAAAAAAATTAATAAATAAAATGTATCCAAGTAGAATATCGCTGAAAAACTGCTGATTTGACTGATGAAATGTTTGTTTTGACTTCTTTACTGATGAAATTAGAGATAATACGATGCCAGCATCAGAAATGCCAAAGTCACTGCAGCAAGCACAAAAATCTACGTACGATCAGAGACCACATCTTTAAAGTTTACTAGTTTGAAAGAACTGCAACTATTCTTTTCCCAGAACAACAGCTGTGTTGTACAGCCACTTTAGTGGTTATTTACAAGAATGTGTTCTCTGGTTGAAATTAAAACATTACTGGAACATTCAAAACTTAAAAGGTCTTCTATTTTTCTAAACTGTGGCTGCACTTCTTGTGTATTCCTAGATTTATCAATTTTGGTTCTTTTCCGGTTATGACTGTATAATAAAATAAATTCTATGGCATCATTGTTTCTATGTATTTGTTACCAACGTATAAATTGGTATTGTTTTAAATACACTGGTATTGGATCTGTACTCTGTATCAGCAAAACACAAAGTCTAGGTATTAGAATGTTTGTCGGGAAAGGAAAAATGGCACATGAGGCAGAGCTGTTGAGGACATCTGACCTGTATCGCCCCATCTGTCTGAAGTGTGGAGTTAAAGTTATTAGTAAATACTAATTTTGTAAACTCAATCTGAACTCTAACAAACTAAAGCCTCAGTCGTTTTTCTTACAGGTGCTGGAGCAAGACCACACGTGTACCGGTGACTCAAATAAAAACATGCATGTCTGCACAGAGCCTACCGTGTGTCTAATCTCACTCCAAAATGAGGTCACTGACTTCACACAGCACCTCAAATAAGAGATGATATCATTTTGAAATGATACTGTGTTTGTTAATTTCTTATATATGAAAGAACAATGACTGACTCGATCCTCAAAGTTTTACTGATTTGAATAATAAACGAGCAGTGATTTATTCTGCCTAAAAAAATGATGCTTAATATCAGCTCCAGTTTGACTTTGAATTGATTTCTGTCAGAATTCTCATTCTGAAAAAGCTGAATTCTGCATTATGTTATCTACAAGACAGTTACTTTAAATGCTGTCTTGGGTCGCAGCAATTTTTTTTACATTATTGGCATTATTTTGTGTGTATATAGACAACATAAATGCATTATGTGGGCTGAGTTTCACAAGACTGGGCAGTCTTGTCAGAACAAGACAAGAAGCCATTTCCTGCATTTTTAGTTTGTGGTTCCTTCACTCGGATATGGAGCAAGACTGCAGCTCAGTGAAGAAAACAAAACAACACATTAGAGAACTCTTGCATCAATTTAAAACATCTGCAGTTAATCTGCAGTTCTGGTGGATTACGAGTTGCCATTTATTTCCTCACAAACCTTTTCACTTTTGTAAACAGTTTCAGTATGAACTTGTAAAAAACGTGTGTGAGGTTGGTAAACTCAGGAACTTTAAAGAGTACAGCCCAGGATGTTTCAAAAGTTGGTCAAATAGATTTCAACTTGTGAATAACACACAGCTCAAGTATGAACCAGCTAGGTGAAGTGAAGCGGTGGATGGAGCTGCACTGACTGGATCATATGAGGGTTGATGTTAGAATGTCTTCTCACCTCATGCAGCAGTGTCGTGCAGTTGAACCACTGGACTCATAATACCTTTAGTTTGAATTGTATCAAATATGAGTTTTACCAAAGAGAAAACCTTTATAAACGTAGAAAGACTCTTTGTCAGTGTGTGTGTCAGGACACAGACAGTCGTAGTGTCCAGATGTCTGAGCAGAGTTTAACATTAACCTCAGTCAGAAGCTAAAACTCAAACAGAAGATGTCTGAGGTGAGGCGGTGGAGAGTCTCACCTGTCCGCCGGGACCGCGCTCATGCTTCCGGGCAGACAGGAGACTCACCTGGGCGGCCCCACCTCAGAGACCCCCAGTCAGCTCACAACACCACCCAGAAAATAAAGAATAAAGGAAGAACTTGTACCTTACTTCCCGCTGCTGCGAACCTCCGGCGCGTGTTTGTCATGTCCGGTAAAGTGTTATGGACAGAAAGCCAAACAGCAGCAGCTCCTCTGCGCTCGAGCAGGAGCGTGTGTCAGTCACTTCCTCCTCCGAGACTCACATCACACATCTCAGCCAGGAGAGATTAACACTTTCACAATAAAAGCTCTTCCGCTGACCGCGTGCAGCAGAGAGCACCCTGGGACACGTTTAAAAGTCTGAGTATGATCAAGTATAACATCATGTACGGTGTGTTTTGATATATTACCGCGTGTTTAGTCGAGCCTGGACATTCTAATATTTTACAAATAATATTATGGTACTGATCCACTAAATATATAATTCAATTTGGTTTTATTGGACTCTTTCAACTCTGCATTTTAAAACTCTGAGATTTTATTGAGAATATAAATATTACACTGTCACAATTACCAATTTACCAGAACCATGTGAGAGAAGAAAGAGACATTTTAGTTTGGTTCATGCTGTCCAGTACATTCACACAGCAGTTAAACCATAAAGACTCACATCTGTGGTCGCCATGTTTATTACTGACTTCTCCTTGTTTACTTCCATAAACAGCATGCTGTGTGTGATGTCTTGTTCTTCTCCGCATGTGGGTCACATCAGGTCCATGACCAGTTCTCATTGATTGGGGTCTGATACTGGCCACATTTTAAAAGATAATGTGAACAGATCCATAAAAAAAATCAGATCTTGAAAAATGGTGGGATTTATGACCTGCACTTCAACCAGCCAACAGGTGGCACTCAAGAGGCTTTGGCTTCACTTTGAGTGAGCTGTCACGTCATCCAACTTTAATTACATTTGATAGTTAGGACAAACAAGTTCTATGCTTGACATGAACCCACAGTAGGTGCTCATTGTTTCTTTAGCAAAGGTGAGTTTACGTAGATCAAGTTACCCTAAGCAGAAAAAAATCAGTTAGGAAGTTCTATGGAACACTGCACCTTTAGTCAACAGGATCATCATGCAAGGTGTGGTCCATGTTTACCTGAGTCATTACTTGCTCACTCCTAGATATGAGATATGCTCATTTAAAATCGGAAACATAAAGCTTTTTTTATTTACCAGATGTATTTCTATGGCAGTATTTTGTGGCCCACAGAAAAATAATCCTCTCAAACAGATGTTCACTCACATCATTCCCATTAACCTTGGTACATTTAATCCATCCAGCCTCCAACTCTCCACCAGTGACGGAGTGAGGTCACTGCGGTTTCTCTCTCCATTTGAATTAGCATCATTCCATTGCTCCTCTCTTTCCCACAAGCGCACACACTTTACTTTTCATACAATTATAGTGATCGGCCAATGTCTTGCATTTATCATACCAGAATTATACTGACATTTCAGATAAGTTTATCCCATTATCTTGTACCTTCCAAGAACTGATACTAGACTAAATTAGGCCAGTGTAGTTAACTAACAAAATTAATAAAAAGATGAAAGATGTTACCTGTCGGGACGAATTATTTTAATTTTATCAGTTGTGCTGCTTTAAGAAAAGTAACACACATGACCTATGCTTGTAAGTTACGTCTGCACGGTGACATCTTTTCACACAATGGGTCAACATTACGTGGCAGTTAACATCAGTGCTGACACTACCAACCAGAGGTGTTAAACATGTGACATCCCACTGCTTTCTGTTCTGTAGCTTCCATTCATATCTTCCATTCTGATGGGTCACAGTGATTCAATCATTGTTCCAGTTCTCTTCCACCTAACACCTATAGATCTGTTTTCAGGTAATGTTTTATTAACATCCTGAAGCTCCTGTCTTTTTTGCAGCAGGGTGTTAATGATCATGACATTTCAGACTGCACACACTGATGTTATCTATCAACACAAGCCTCTTCTGTGTTCAGTTAGTTTTTCCACCTGTATTTTATTCCTCTCCTGTCTCGTTCTTGCATTCCCACGAATCCCAATCACCACCACTTCCTCTACAGTCACAACTCTACATCTGGCACATCCTTAAATCAGCTGCTCTTCTGTTGAGGTTGGTATCATTAAATAACAGAAATGTTGTTTACGAATATTTTTACAAAGCCATGTATTCTGTATCTGTTTGTGAACCTGAAATGATTTTGTCTCCTGTCTGCAAAGAGGTGCACCAGGAATGCTTTACAACGTTTTCCCTTGGCTCTGTCTGTCTCAGTCTATCTGTTCACACTGACTGATAAGTTTCCCATCCACTTATTGTTCCGTGGAACCACTGTGGTTTTTCTTGCAGCTTTTGCATACTGCACCACATTCACTACTTTGTACTCACCAACATGCTCCATTTTTTCTTCTTTGATTTGCTACTCAGCCCCACAAACGATCATCAAAGTCCCATCACTGAAATTGTCAGCATTGTGCAGATTGTGTATTGCACGATGAAAAAGAAACGCCTGAAGTGCTTGAAACATGTGCAGAGGACTTCAATTTATCCAATCAGTCCCACAGAACTCTTTCATGAAATCGCCCGTCCTGTTGTGACATTCATGCACATCACTCTGTGTGCATGTATTAACACATATGTGCACTAACCTTTGTTTAATCAAAAATTAAAACTCATTTTACATTATAACCCAGTAAATATTGACCAGGTTGGAGTAGTTTCACTCTGTCTGATTTTTTATTAAGTTTAATTCCTACATTGTGCTTTACCAGGCGATGTTTCCTCATACACAAGCAACCACAGCTGCAAGGATAACTGTGCAACTTTGTTATGCATGTTATGCATGCTTTGTTATACTTCAGTTTCATGGTGGTCACTTGATCCTGTTCTCTAGGTGCCTGGTGTTTATTTCTCTATTGTTATCAGAATACATGTTATTTTTCTGCAATTATTAAAACATATTAAAACAAATCCCATCACATGTGATCTCATGCTCTCACCTCATCAGTCTTTCTTGTTGTCATCCTGGTCTTGGTTTATCATGTGGCCCTTTTGTGAAAATAATCTCTGAGGGGCAAGACTTCTTTAATTCATTAAAATATGTTTTCTAGAGAGCCTTTAGCTTCACATTATATTTTGAAGCGAATTATGCAACAGAAACCTGATGAGAAAGGAAAGGATGATGCCTTGAGAAATGGCAATCAACCGCAAAAATATACTTTCTGAAAAATCTGGTGGAGGTGTCATATTTTAACCAGGCAGATACGACAGACAAATTAACAATATACAGTTACAACAAAAAGTGATATATATTAAAGATGCTATATACAAAACAATAGAGACACATTTCTGTAGTACACACAGAACAAGTGTCCATGGCTTTCAATTTGAAATCTGACTGTAACATTGTCTTTTTCTGTGCACAATATAAAAACACTCACAAACGACATTTAGAAAAAGCAGCACACTGCTTTGGCTGATATAAATACGTTTGTGTGAAGAGAAGTTACAGGGATGATGATGCGGACGGAGTATTGCTTTCATGCTGGACTCAATGTCTCAAACCCTGAGAAGATCGGAAATGAATTGGGTGACACCCAGTGGGAGACATCCAGAAGCACTTCAATGCTTTCACAGCCAAAACATGAACAAACTGACAGACGATAGTATGGCCATGCTCTTCCGTGCACAGTGATGCATCCCACTGGATAAAAAATGACAGATTGTACTGCAATTGGACCCACACTTTCAGTCTGTCATGACAAACACACTTCAAAAGGATGGCATATTATGTGTATGTAAGTTCCACAGAAGAATTAATTGAACTGATAATTCTGACAGATCAACAATATCATCCTTCTCCCAGATCTGATCATCCCGACAAAACAGAGATAACTTAATGAAAAATAACAGAACACATCAATAAAATCTACTTTTAATTTGCATAACAGTGTCCTTCCTGTGTTTGCCCTGATGTCGTGTGGCCATGAGACTGCAGGGTCTATGTCACCCAGCTGTCCATTCGCATTCGTTTGACCGTCGGACTCTCACCGCCCTCTGCCAGGCTCACAGGGAGCGAGTGGAAGTCCGGCCGCTGCTGCTGCTGCTTCTCCTCCCTGTCACTGCAGCCCTCGTGGGAGCTGCAGGAGGAGCTGACACTGTCTGCAGGAGACCTCCCCATCTCTGCTCGGGCAGAGGAGCTGGAGGAGTGAGGATGAGGAGGGGCGTGAGCCTGGGTCACGTACACAGAGTGGTTGAGGTGGTCCCGGGGTGGGGAGATGGGCTCGGCCTTGATGTTGATGTTGTGGTTGGTGTTGATGGAGAGACTGGAGCTCCCCGGCCTGCAGACAGAGGGAAGAGAGGGACAGTGTTGTTTGAGGCCATCACTGCAGGGTGATGACGCCACCTAGTGGGAAAACTAACAAGTCTGTATACAGAAAAGATTACCTCACTGTATGAGGAATAGGACAATTTAAATCTTTTTACTGTGATATATTGTGTGTAATGTATTTTTTTTACTTTATTTATTAATTATTTAATATTCATGCAGCAGAATTCTGAATTGCATTATATTCTTACAAAACATGTTTTATTCTATTCTTTTTAGAAAACTGAAACTGTAACCTGTGGTAGCAAATTATCACATTTACTTATAAACTTTTAAGTTATTAAAATAAGGTAAATGATAACCTTATGTAATATGATGATCATAAGATGAGTTTTAACCAAAGCCACTTAAAAGTGAAAAAACTGTTCAATATTCGTTCCACCTCAACCAGGAACAACAGTGAAATGTTACTTAAAACATGGAGGAAAATAATCGAATGATATAATTGATATAGGTAAAACACATACCTGCCTTTAGTGCAGTTAATTTTCATCCTTTGAGTACATTTTACTTAATAATACATAATTGTTATTTTAAAGCAGGGACTTTAAGATACAACACTGTCTTCATCTTATAAATGAAAATTTGTGGTGGCTACAAAACATGGGTACTCGTATGATTTAACAATTCCTCATTATTTGTTCTAATTAGTTTCATTACCCAAATATACATTGCTATTTCAATTAAAGTAAAGGCTTACAGTCAATCCTCGATCACTAAACATGTCATCGTCAAGTCTTCGTCAGTGGTCACTAACATTAGTCCAGAAAAATTTTACGTTTACAACTTCATCAAGTCACCTCTTCCAAACTGTTTCACAAAACCTCTCCTGGGCTTTAGTTCACATATTTGTCAGTACATTTTTAAACTATGTCAACTAATAACATATTGTAACTATTTTGGTGAAACCAGTACAAACTGGTATGTGTCATTAAATGCCAAGGTCAACTCTATCAGGTACTAACCCCAGTGATCCCAGCTGGTGTTGCTGCCACGCTGTCATGGAGCCCACAGACAGGCCTGCAGGCGAGCTGAAGCCTGACAGCTCTGCACTGTTCATGGAGTAATCTGACAAAGAGAGAGTGATGACATGTAACACACACAAAAATGTTTCTATATATATTTTTATACTATTACAAAATATAGATCATTATGTAGCATAGACTGAACCCTCATGGTACAGTGCTGTGTGGAGCTTTGCATATTATGGCAGATTATTTTATGTGTTATTATGCATTAAATTAAGTAAGAAATAAGTAAAGAAGAACAGAAATGTTTCAATGTCTTTTATAACCATATATTGTCCTCTTTGGATCCACAGGGGCTGTGCTTATAAAAGTGAAACAGTGCAAGCACCCATAATGCTCAGGTACCATTGTTGTAGGCAGAGCTGATGCCGGAGTAGACCAGATTTTGGTGAGGCAGACTGGGTGTGGTGATGGAGACCACTGGGGTGGACAGAGGCTGGTTGGACTGACTGCTGCTCAGCCTCTGGTTGCTCTGGAAAAAGAAAACACGATTATATTATTGTAATACTCCATCTCAACCACATGGTGACAGGATAAATTCATTTTTCCATGGAGTCTCATTACAGCCAGTGACATCTATATTTTCCTTTTAAGGAAAATTCGAACCTCAGGCTCAAATACTCTTTCCTACATTTCCCAGAATACCCAGAGAGTGAACTTGAGGAGGGGTCAGCATCTTGTTTGGGGTTTACTCCAGACAAAGGACAAGGCTAATGAAATGATGAATGTTTTGGACAGAAAAGTCTGGCAGTGACTTATTTCAATAATTTTCAAAACCCTATATATCATTTTAAGACAAAAATAACTGAACATGAAGATGAAGTATTACACATTCCAGTTGGGAGCAGCTGGATTAAGGAAACACTAAATAGCTACTGACAATTTGTTCTTAATCAGTCAGGGGCTGAGTGAGCCATGTTGTTTTGGCACTGGTTTGGCTGGTGAAGCCACAGATCTGGTGGCTCTTAAACTAGACACATCTCTAACAGTCGTTCTAAGTTTTCTGTTGCTTCCCTACGAGCTGCTGGCGTTCCAGTCTGATAATGTCAGAAATGACGTCACCCTGAATGAGATCATTCACTGCTAAGAACACACACACGCACACACACAAAGGTTAACCAACCTGTAAATGCCTAAAACCAACATATTATCAAAGGGACTTTGCACAATATGTGTCCCAGAAGTACTACATTGTGTTTTCTCCCCAACCCTGTGTTATCTGTGCAGTATCTCCATCACTACATGTTGGTCAACACTGAAAACAATGCAGCCTGTGAAAAAAAGCCCCACCTGCTCAATTCTTTATGCTTTATACACAGTCAATGAACACGTTTGGAAATTTGCAATCCAAAAGAGTTGCTGTCGCACAATACACAAAACAGTGTCAACTCATTAAAGCTGACATCTAACACACTCTAAGAGATGAAGACCATGCAAACGGCTATCTGCCTCATCTGTTACCACTGTTACAGCGTTGAGTTTATAGTTTCTCTGCCTGAAAATTAGTCACATCAACAACATAAAAGTTCCTAACAACTGTAATCACCGACTCCTGTCCCTTTGAATAAGGAAACAATCTCCTTGATCTGACAGCCAGTGTGCTGAGCCACCTGGTCGCCATAAAAACAGAAGAATACAAGTCTCTCTCTATTCATTTTTTGCTAATCGTTACATCATGTTTGAGCATAGTGTGGGAGGGAAGGGCAACAGAAAGGGAGTTGAGGGCAAATCAATAACTTCAATAACCCAGCGTCATTTTAAAGCTACAGCCAGGGTTAAAAAGTACATAGTTCATAATATATACGAATAGATAAATATCTTTTTCTGCCCCGATGTTAAGAAGAGTTTTTAATCCAGTGTAACTTTATTTCCTGTTTTACGTCGTCTTGTCACTAACATTTCCTGTTCCATTCCAGTTTCTGCTTCACTTGATTAATTACTCACCAGCACCTGATTAGTTCCTGCCCCTGTGTTTCCAGCCAGTCAACCCCTTACAAAGTTCTGTCCAGTCCCCACTGAATCATTGTCATAATTGTGTTCACGTGTTCTTTCTAGTGTTTCCAGTGTCACACACCACTTTGAACAAAACAGCAATTTATAACAAGTATATTACAAAAGTAGTGATTAAAAGAGTAAGATTAAAGCACAAAAAAATCATGTTTTTCCTAACCCCATAGTACTTCATTGTTGTGACAGGTCAGTGAATTATTTGAATATTGATTTATGATCCACAAGTTTTGCCTTCTGATTCAAATACTGTCAGGCAGTGAAGCTTAGCAGTACAATAGCCTATAAGAGAAAAAGAGTGCACGCTCAGGATGCATACAGTGTATTTAGGCAAGTAGTTTAATGTACACTGACTGGAAAACTACAGTGTTGTTTTCTTACAGTGTGCAAGAGGGACTTATGCTCATGGTGTCCTCCCTCCTTTAAAGATTTCCTTGCACACCCTGAAACCATCTGCTCCAGATGCTGTCAAACCAGTTGTTCTGAAAAGTTGTGATAGTGTGCATCTATTTACCCCATTCTTCTCTGGGTCCGACATCTCTTAGGCTTAGATCACTTCATGTACTGTTGTGCTTCTTAACTAAAGTTTGACTGAGTCATTGAAAGCCTTGAGACCTGTGTATACAGCACTTAATCCACTCACATCATTCCTCATAAGGCCAGGGGTAAAAAAATGCTCTTGTTCATTTCATTTATGAAATGCTTAACAAAAAACTTCATGCAGTACGATGGTGAGAAAGAAGTAAGTGTGAATATGTCAACTTTTTCTGCCCTCCATTGTCCACAATGATTATACTTGCAGCGTCAAATATCAATGATGAATTTTGTTGTTGTCCTAAATGTACAAGACAAATGCAAACTCACCAGTGTTTGCATCATTCCTTTGGACTGGGGTATGACCACTCGCAGATCAGTCTTACGGCTGCCTGGGACCAGGTTGTTCCCAGGAGGTGGGAGAGGAGGAGAAGATTTGGGTTGCATGATCTTCCCCAAACTGCCTCCACCAGGTGAGCCCAGAAAACCATTCGCTGAACACAGAAATAGAAAAATACACACACTTTAGACTGGTGGTAACAAAATTTCAGCAGAGCTGACTGATTGAGGGAGAATATGAGCTCAGACATGCTCTAGGAGTCATAGTGTAATGTAATGGTAATGGTAATCACTTAAAACAAATCACACTGCATCTGTACAGAGTCTCCTATAGTCTACTCTAGTGCAAATATAGAAATACTTGAAGTTGAAAAGTGCTGTAAAAACAAAACTGTCCACCACCAGGATGTGTATGGAGAAGGGAGAACGGAGAAAGCACAGCTATATATTATACAAAAGATCATAATGAATAATTGATGTTTTCGTGCTCTTGATATTGCATAATGGCAGTGTTCATATGGGACATGCTGTTCTGGAACAGAGATGACAGGAGGTCCGTAAGGATACAGACACCAGAGCTGATGACCTACAGTACAGACAAATAGAGCTGACAAACCATGAGACATTACACTGAGGTTCTTGAAATAACACGATGCCTCCACTGGCCTTTAAACTGGAACTGAAATGTTCTGATGTGAAGTCATGACCTTCACCTGACGATGAGATATCCATCATCATCATCATCCTACAGCAACTCTACCTTTCTTTGTATTTAACTTTGCAAGACAAGAGACAAGACATTGGCAAAACAATACAAGGACAAGAACAGTGGATACAGGCCAGTTACCAGTATTTAATACTGACAAAGCAGGGTGTGTTTGTGTTGTTTCATATATATCAATCATGTGATAATAATAATAATAATAATAATAATAATGTACTGCTTATGAATTCCATTCTGGAAAATAACAAAACAGGTAATAATTGGTATGTATGCTGTAGTTGAGGCCAATCTTAACAGGAAACACATCAACATTTATATTTAATGCAGACGAGTCATATTGGTCTGATACATTTGATTCAATTAATAAATACGTTGTTTTTTTTCACATGTAGAACATGAATTTTGCAGGATCAGATAGTTTTGCTTGCCTGTAAGGATCGGAAACTGACACATGAAGAGTCCCTGAGCATTTCAAAATCATTTAAAGTACTTTTGAAGGTTAATACATTAAGATATTTTTTCTGCTCAGTGATCAAGGATAAATCCAGAAGTTCACTGCACAATTTTAATAAAATAGTCCAACACGAAACACAATACTGTGACAACATGACACATTCATGTACTCATGACTGTCACTAGGTTGGATACAGTTCTGAAAAAGCAGGTTTCCCAGCAGCAACCAGGCTAACATGCTGGACACTGAATGTGACGGTAGACTGACAGCCACACACACAGAGACTGAGGGGAGGTTACAGCAGATAACGCCTGTCTGAGAGGCTGCTGCATACAGCATGTAGTCCATCGACCTGGGGCATGGTGGCGTTTGTAGTGAAGTAGTGTGATGTATGTAGACAGGCAGGATGTTTAAGAGACTGTCAGCCTACATCCTGTCTGTCTACATCAGCCTGAGGAGGAGGATTTTCCTCCTCTGTCCAACATTTAAACGAGACGAGAGGAGCAGATGTGAACGGTCATTACTGCAGCAAGCTCAGACCCTACTGAGGGCTCATGTACTCCTCGTAGTTCCTCCTGCTACTGAAACTACTATCATAGTTACACTAAAAACAGTTGTCAGTGTGTATGTTCTGTACATGAGTGTGTTTATAAGACTCCTATAAGATACTGAAGATACTGTACATACCAACTGGCCCAGATCCATTCTGCAACGCCAGATCAGAGCTGCCCTGCAGGCCACCTGAAGACACACACGCACACACACACACACACACACACACACACACACACACACACACACACACACTGTAACCTCAGACATGAATGCAAAGTTTTCACTATTGCTTTTCTTTCCTTACTATTTCCTGATAATAACCTATTTTGTCTGTCATATATATGAAATTAAAATAGAGCAAAACTGCCTGTTGTTCAAATATGAGGTCACTCTCTATATTCAAGGAGAACTATTCACAGGAAAGGCAAGACTACAGTAAATCCCATTAAGACGGGGTTTAATTTTCTAGAGAAGGATTGAGATTGTAAAAATTACAACATGCTGGTCAGCGATATTATTTCTGGCCACTGAGCATGTGTGCAAGTGTGTGTATGTGTGTGTGTGTGTGTGTGTGTGTGCTTTTTTGTGCACCTTTACTCCAAAGTAGTACACTCCAATTTGTCTAACTTTTCTTTTGCACAGTTGTTTGTCCTCTCATAATATTAAGTCTTGTCCGGACATAAAAAGAAACTCTTCCTCTAGATGGATGTTGCATATTCTATGATTGAGTGTCATCAGCTGAGGTGAACTATAAGTTTACATATCTAAGAGCAATGCAAATATGTTATCATCTGCCCTTTTCCTGGAATGTGACGCGCACCCATACTCACACACCTGTGTTCCCAGTGCTGGGGGGTCTCTGTGGAGAGTTTCTGTGGAGGTGTGAGTGATGTGAGGAGAGGATCCCACTATCAGCCAGAGCCTGAGAAGTCACACCTCCTCCTCCTCCTCCTCCTCCTCCTCCTGCAGCGGGGCTGTATGACATGCTGCCTGGTGCCACATGCATGAAGTTCTGCTGTGGATGGACTGTAGACTACACAGACAGCAACAGATAGAGGGATGTTAATACTTTATAGTATTAGCACCTTTGCAAATAAATGTTAAACATATATAGGATCGGAAAAAGTTTGGTTGAAGTCCTAGCTGAGAAGATGTGAGCAGGGAAAGCTGATGGCTTACAGTCTTTAAGGATTTAATAAGCATGGCTGTGATCTGTGTCAGCAGAGTTTTAAGCTGATGGCCCTGAAAAGTGACAGCAAACAAAAGCTGAGAATCAGAAACTAAAATGCAACTTACAATTTTATGACTCTTCATCATGTGGTCAAATTCCTCATTAATCTTCTTGTATTTCTCCTCAGTGCTGGGGGTGAGGACGTAGGAGGCATCATTGTCAGGGCTGTCACAGCCTCTGTGCTCCTTCTTGTTCAGGGCCTGTAGGAGACACAAGCACAAGAGGGAGAGCGGCATGTTAAAGACAAATATCAACTAATCAGTAATAGGTACAGTTTAAAGTAAGAGGAAAGTGATGTGTTTCTTGAACATCAGAGCATGTCAGCCTTTTCAAGTCATAACCAAAATTTAAAAAAATCATTAATTATAAATATCAGCAACAACATTAAAATATGTGATGAATCCTTTCTGATGAGAAACTCATTAATTCAGTCAATACAGTCTACAGTCCATCTACATAACAACTACAGATCTGAAACACATCAGTAAAGTCTGTTTTCATAAAGAGATATGTTACAAAGTGCAGGACAAGGGTTAAAGTTAAAGACAGAGATTGAACAAATGTAAAAGATTGGAACAAAGTAATAATGGTGCCTGTCTATATAATAACAGTTGTCCATGTCATAAACTGATGGACTGCAGAACACAGGATCTGTATTGTTCTGACTGCTCCCTACTTGACATGTGGTTAAAGAGCAGGAAGGACAACTAACCACTAACAAGACTATAAAATAGCTCTGATTCTAAAGAGGGTCAGAAAATACAGATAATTTCCAACCACTGAGGTCATATTTACATTCCTGCAGTGCTGTGAATACGCTGTTTTGATACTTAAATCAGTACGGATGGGAAAACACATTTTCTGTGGTAAAATCACTTGGCAAAAGCAAAGCATTTTGTAAAGTAGCAGATTATACAGAGACATGTTTCCAAGGATATATCAGGCTAACTAGTTTGGTTTAATTCATGTGTGTGTTAAGCTATTAATTATCTCAGGATCTGTCAAGAGAAGCAATTAATCAATCAATCAATCAATCAATCAATCAATCAATCAATCACTCCATCCATTCATCCATCCATCCATCCAATCATCCATTAGCAGCCTGGCTCTTTGAAACAGTCAGTCAGTCAGTCCTGTGGGCCAGACTGAAACACCTCTGGTTTTGAGCGAAATGTCTCCTCAACAGATTCGATGGACTGCCATGAAATTTGATGAATGCATCGATGCCCCTCTCAAGATAAAATACAGTATATTTGTGATCCCTTGACCTTTGTCATCATCAGGACAAATTTTCAATGTGTCCAGTACATTGACTAATGACCAAATACCTGTAGAACCTTGCCCAATGGTATGCATCAGCCTTAGCTGGGCTTTGAGTTTTTTGCAAATCAACAAATACTAGCCTGCAAACATGTAATGTCATTGGTAACTATTAATTATTAGAAATGATACATTGTATAATTGTCACTGTAAGTAAGTTAGCATGTTGAGTACTACTGTAGTTTGAGAAATCCATTTTGACATACAGTGGCACAGCTGCATTCATGCTTCAGCCAAACATCATCTGCCTGCACCGACTACATTACTCTGCTCTTCAGGGTCTGACAGTCTGGATGAGTTTATGAGCTTTGAAGCTGCGTGCGTGACACAAAAAGCTGGTCTGAGTGGTACAGTCATCAGACATCTCGAGTTTTTCTCTGGAGAAATGCTGCTCCACATCCCAGTCTTACTCATCTATGTTCACAGCAGTATTTTTTTTTTAAAACACAAAGGACTACAGTAAGCAAGTAAGATGTTTTCATTGCAAGCCCCAAACAACTCTGGGTATTGTGCTTCTAGTGGTGCAGGGTGGCTAGATGGGGAAATATAAGGCAAAGAGTGAACTGGCATTCATAGAAACATAGCTCTGAAGTGAGAAGTATTAGTACAAACTCCTCTGTCTGAAGAGAATCATTTTGTAAAAACAAGATGTTTGTATGAAACCACTTTTAAATTCACTAGAGTCCTATTTTTATTTTAATCTGCACCAAATTGCAAACACTTGTAAAATACCAGTCCACTTAACATGTCGGATTTTTTAAAATTAAAGATCCATGATTTACATCTAAAAAATCAATTAAAATGTTGACAGACACCCTGTACTTCGCAATGTTAGATTTGGTTCCACACCAAAATCATATGGATTCTCCTCCATTAAATTTAATGGAGTTCTGTTAAGTAGTGTTTGTGTAATCCTGCTAACTAACTAATAAACTAACAAATGCAGAAGATAAGACAACTTAACTGAGGTAACTATAAAAGTATAAGCATAGTGGAATTATTATTATTATTGAATCATTGATGTTTGTGCATGTGAGACTTTCATAGTAAAATACTATTTAAACCATTTACTTTCATTAGACAGCTTGTTTCTTCATGACATAACATTTGAGCACTCCCATTATTGATTATAATTGATAATTTAGTCGTGTTGTCATACTTTCTCATTATTACATCATATCTTTAACATATCTACCATTTGATAACGCTCAAGCACATTATATTATTATAACTTTGTGAGCTGTAACTTTGTGATGCATTTGAGCATCTGTAATCTTTCACAGATTTGTTTTTGCTGATATATTTTGTATATAGTGTTATGTAACCTAGTGTTGCTAAATTATGAGGGTTGGTAAGTTAAGAGAAGTAAGTTTGTAAGGCTGCATTGGATGAAACAAAGTCAGTTTGTGACTGTGGAGTTGGCAGGTTGACAAATAAAAAGATAAAAATAAAACAAACCCTTGTTTGGCCACTTGGAAGTTGCATAAGCTAGAAACACAACACTGACATTTGATCATTTTTTAATTCGATATGAAGAACTGATTAGCAATCTATCAATGTTAGCATTCATTCAGTCCTATTTTTTCTCACTATTTCAATATTCACTGTGATCTTCCCTCTGTTTTGGTCGCCACCAGCTCCTGAGGGAAATATCTGTTTTTTTAATTTCCTAAATGCTCACCACTGTCTATCCCACAGCGGGGCTATTGAGGGTATTTTTGCTGACGAAAAGAAATGAGGTTGATGAGACTAGACCAGTTAGGATATAGGTCATAACACCAAAACAATGAGCATGAAGACACTAAAATGATGGAGCGGAGGTAAAGTTGGTTCAGTTGGCTGGTAACACCATATGCATTGGGCAAGTGTATGTTCATTTCATCCATTGTTAATATACATAAATGATATAAAGCAGCTAAAAGTTGTGGCTTGTTAGAGTTCAAACACTTGAATTCAAAATGAGTCATACATCTGCCAATTGGCATTGTTCAGATGGTTCAGAAAGATTAGGCTTAGATCATGTCTTTATAAAATGGTTGGATGAATCTGATGGATGTGGGGCTGCAGCACCTGGACCTTAGTAAAAGAGTCATTGCAAATCAAATCAAATCATACCAACATCATGGAAGCCTGCATGATGACGTCACATCTCTGGTATCCATCATCTCATCTCTGCTCCTCATTACATTACACATCATAGGGTGAAAAGGGACGGACTGACAGACCAACACACCAGCCAGCTGACTGTCTGTCCACCACATGTCCTCTGCATTCCCAGACTCTGGTAGTTATTAGCAGCTTTAAACACACAGTTGCCAGTCTATTTTCACCGAAGGCCTTAAACCCAACTTTAACAACTGGTGGCCACTTCAGAAGTCACACGCTCAGTTACTGCTCAGTTAAATGGCTGTTCATTTCCACGCTCTAGTAAACACTAAACTGGACAGCTTAAAATTCCAAAAGACACATGCATTGTTTGGCTCATTCAGTTCTGGACAGCCTTTCCCTCAACCTATCACCCCGCCTGTTTGTTGGACCCTTTGTCTGAAAGTTACTCCATTTGGTCTAATTATGGGAGGGTACAATAAAGTATATTGTGTAGTTACAGGGTAGCAGTGGCAGCAAGTATCAGTCAAAATGACAGATAGAGAATATTAATTACCCATCAGTGATTTCAAGATTATGGAAATTACGGATAACATGGTCTTAACATACATTCTAACACACAAGTTGTAGGAAAGAATTTATTTTGAAAAGGGCAATGCAAAAAATAGACTTCATAAAAAAAAGTATTAGACTGTGCAACCATCACTTAACAATAACAACTGAGACATAGTTTGCTGATCCCAAATACCAGTTACTATTTACCCTTCAATAACTGACTGCAATCATAATGTGTGATGGATGGTGGTGACCAAAACAGTGAGTGAATTTAGAGTAGTGGTCATAAAAGGACTGAATGCTAACGTTATTCTGAATCTGCTGCATGTGGGTTTGTTTCCTGACAAAGTCCTCATATAGAATAGAAAGATTGTTTTTATAGCTGATTTCATGGCCTCCAAGTGGCCAAAAACAGGTGTGTTGCTGTTTTCATTTTTAACCTTCTGATTCATTTTCTGAACCCACTTTCCAGTCACAGGATGACTTCCCCAACTTGCTTCATATAATGCACCTCAGAAACGTGTTTCTGCACAAGTGCCCACAGTAAAGTATATAGATAAGGACTGCAAGTGCATTTTAAATATTGTAGAATGAAATTCAGTCATATAATGACTCAGCAGTTATTACTAATATGAGAAATAAGACAAAAAGCGCTGATGGAATGATTTCAGTCAGTTACTCAGCATAAGGAGTTTGTTACTGTACAACCATTCTCTGATTCATGTATGAACTCAGTTTAACCTTACAAGCAAAACAAGAGGGTTTTTTTTTTGAGGACAGCTGATACCAATTATGTGCTCCCCAGTTTCTTCCCCGTTTCACAACATACTCAGGTAGCTCTACAGTTTAACTTTAAATTTGGGGGACTTCCAGCTCCTATGAGAGAGGTTGTTTTCTTTAGAGGAGAGTGAACAGTATGAGGGGTGAGAGGGACACTGAGTGTACCCTGGAGAGGAGAGTCTCTGGGGATTTGGTCCGAGAGCCATAGGGCTATATGTGGCTCCACAGATGCTGGTTTGAACCACTACATCATGTCTGAGAACTGAAGACTATCTTAAAGTGTTTGCAGGGGATCTGAGAGTGTGTGTCCCCTTATCATCTCAAATGTCAAAGTTGGCTTTAGTGGATCATTAAAGGCATCTGGTTCATTGCCACCATGTGACACGGGCTGCAACCACAACCAAGTGAAGGTGATGTCTTGTTGCTGTTGGGGCTCCATCAAAGATACAGCAGGGCTCCCTCTTTCCTGGAGCAGAGTCTTTTCCAGTCAGGTGAGTGCCCTTTAGGCTAAGAATAGGGCAAGCATGGGAGTGTTAAAGATGAGATCCAACACATCTCTAGCACAGATAAACTCAGCACAGCCCTTTCAAAGACCAGTCCACACAAACTGGTTTCCACAGACTGTTTTATGTTGTTATGTATTACTTTATAAGGTATCCTGAAACTAAAACACTGTGCTATATGCCACATGTTGTCTGTGTAATGTAGTTTTCACTTGATCTTAGGGTTCCCATTCATGTCAGGCTGAAATGACTGCACTACATACTTTGGACAGCTGCTCTGTTTTTGTTGAAACTCAACTCTGCAAAACACAAACCTGTCTCATTATTATGACAAAAGTAATCTGTTTGTAAGATTAGCTGAGCAGTTCAGACTTTGTAGTTGCTGGCAGATCATCAACATAAAAAAAATCTCCCTGGCTTTCAATTTTGTTTCAGCTTGGCTTAACACTTTCATCTCCTTCATATGGACCTAGAGCTGTACAGATTATACAGCTTAAAGTCAAACTGAAATGTTAGTTTTGCTAAAATACATCCAGGAATATGAATCATGTTATTTGGTTCCAACTAACAATGCCGACAATTAGGGAAACAAATACAAATACAAATCTGTCTGGACGAGCACTGGATTGAAGTTTTGCTTTAACTTTAATATTTTTTTAAATTTCACCATGTAGTGATTTTATACAGTACCCCCTGTGAATTTTGACAATCTGGTCAAATATCATGAATGGACTCACAAAAAAGACAAATAAGTGTGCTTTCACACCTTAAAATAGAATACTAAAGAATATTGTAGCAGTGTTCAACACTTGAGCATTCAAATATTAAATCAGGAAGCAATCCTGCAAGCTTGGGCAACTCTGTTTCTGGAGAGACCAGTAAGAATCCTCTTCTTTTTCTTCTATTGTTCAATGTTGTCTCAACTTCAAAAGCCCAAAAAGTGTTTTTACATGACAAAAGCACCAAACCAACGTTGAGCTTGATCCAGACCGATTGTTTTAGTGGGACAAAACTTTGGTCTATTGTTCCAAATCATGGTCCAAGGCACATCCAATACTTGTTGGTTCTTCAGACAATACTGAAAAGTCTGAATGTCCAGAGCAAACAAGGTGTGAAAGCACTCTGTCACTAGTATGACTACAGCTGTGCTTTGTATAATGTGGGACAAACACAACACTTAATGCAGAGGCAGTATTTGTAGATGGCTTGAAATAACAAGCAAATCATAAAGGTGCTTACAATGGCAAGATAGGTGGAGCTTTCACTTTCTGAGGGTAAGCAAGGTAGCCTAGCCTCAGAATAATAAGCTTTGCTAGCTTGGTATTCAGCAAAATTATGCACAATTGTTGAATTTTATAAAGGCAAAACAGTTTAAATCAAGTTTGACATTTGCTGCCTTGAGTCAGACAAGTTGATTGATATGACTCACACATCTGGACAGCCAGCCAAATCTAGTTAACTTAACTAAGCACAATTTAAGACTGGAAACAGGAAAACAGCGAACCTGACCGTCCAAATCATAACAAAGTCAATGTATCACATCTCAATTGTTTAGTCTGTAATAAGACCTCCGTGAGAAAACAGACACATACAGCAGTCTTATCGGGGTTATGTGATAGACTAGTTTCTTGTCTTCTATGATTCTTAACTCTCACTATTAAACCAACTCAGCTTCCCTAAATGTCAATGTATTCCTTCAAACACAAAAAGTGGATAGTTGACTCCACGAAGAGTTGCTTAAAAGAGGAAAAATTGCTTTTATTATCAATGCAATATGATGTTTCCCTGGTCAGTAAAGCACACTGACAGCTAGTTAACACGGTACCTCAGAGCGAAGACAAAATAGTCAGCCAATGCCATTGGAAAGTTTCACCTATTGTCTCTACAAATATACCATAAGGAGAATTTATCCCCCTTTAAAAATTGAAGAAAGCAATATCTGCAGTCATTATCATTACAGTTTATATTCTACTCACTTTTTGTTTCAGGAAATATAAACAATAATGATAGCTGCAGCATGTTTATAGATTATAATTCCAGACATAAAATGAGTTGAATTCACATTTCACTTTGACTTTAAACATACTCAAATCAAACAAAGTAAAGAGACAGATGCTGCATGTGGGTGTAGATTTATGTGAAGACTGCCTGCATGCGACAAAGAAAGTGTGGGCTGTTAGAGATAATCATCAGCAAACAAACACTTTCATGAAATAATGACAATGAAGCTTCCTACCAGCTCCCCTGACAGGGGACGTCTGTTGCAGCCAGCGGAGGATTATTTTACACATAGTCAAATCCCATGCTTAAATGTCGCAGACTCACCGATATGTAAAAGAGCAACCTCCCGCTTTCCAGTCTTTGTTGTGACTAGTGTATCTATCTGCGTGACATTTGTGGGGAATAAAACAAATAAGGGCACAAAGTAGGCAAATAAACCCTGGTGGACGGCGTACAGAGCAGACAGGTGTCTGCCTGTGGTTTTACAGCAGGAGAACAGACGTGATTATGTTATTTAGAATCACTATGGGCAATGTCTGTCATGCAGCTTAACAAATCTACCACAAATATCACTAAATCTGAGAGGATGAATTCAAATTCTTTTCATCTGTAACCCTGTATTTACTTAAGATCCTTCCGTTTAGTCTGATAATTGTCTAGTGCGGTTGGAGAAACCATGTTAGATGTACATGGTAGGGTTAATCTTTGAATCTGGTGAGATAGAGGAAACTGAGTGAGGACAGAGAGCAGATGGAAAACATACCTGTACTCTCCCTAAAGCACTTAAGTTGTTTTTCGGGAAGGGCGAAGGGCCATTTTGAAAATAAACTCAGGGATATTTAGCTTCTTTATAGTTTGTGTGTGTGTGTGTGTGTGTGTGTGTGTGTGTGTGTGTGTGTGTGTGTGTGTGTATGTGGGAGCAGTAACTACAGACTCTCAGCAAGACAAACAGGCATGAAAAGCTTACATAAACAGCCAGAGCATGATTCAAGATGACCATTCATTTTTAATGGCAGCAGCAATATGTGTGTGCTATGATAGAAAGGGTAGCGCTGCTCAGGGACCATGATGCAACACTGCTGGCGTCACCACATCGATGACGCTGATGGACCCCGCAGAATGGATGGATGGGTGGATCTTATCACCAAAAACATCTATGTCCCTGGTAGCCCAGCTAAGCCTGGGGTGTGTTAATACTTAATTCACGGTCTCACTGATGATTTGCATAATAGCTGAAATTGGAACCTGTCAGTAGTTGCTAAGGTCCAGATCTGTCCTGTAAATTCACAATGTGAAAATCAAGCTGGACTCAAGTCCATTTTGTACTTTTTTTTTTTTTTTTTTTAAACAGCCAACAGATGCTTTGTCAGTTCACTTTGAATATGCACCAGCCAACACCCCTTTTTAGTCTCAGTCCATCCCTGAATGATAAAACTACTTTCGAAATGTTTGTTTTAGTGAGGCAACATCTGGATGAATTCTGCTTAATCTGCAGTTCTAATCTTTCTAGGAATTCAACTTTCTACAGCACATTCTGCATCATTTCCTTCCTGAATTCTCCAAATCAGTGGTTGATTTGAATATAAACGTGGATTATTATTGAGTTTATGATACATGATTATTATTATCTTTATTGTCAAGTTTTCATTTTTCAGTTATTTATTGAATTTATTTTTTAATTTATTTTCAATTATTTTTTGTGTCAAGTGATTCAAATGCATGTAATTGAATTCCAGTTAACATTTGATTTGACAGTAAAGTTGGAATAGTACAGTATTTTTTTTTTTCAGGGAGCAATAGAAATTATACTAAAGGGTGTTTAACAACTGCAATGGTTAGACATTTGACAGACATGAACAGCAGCCAATGTTATTAAGAAATAAACATCAGCCTACCAAGACAAGCCTGAGACGATGGGAAAAAAAGTTAGTGATTTACACCTGTTGGTTCTCGTGTACATTTCTGCACAGAAGATAGCAGAGCTGTACACCTGATTAAAGCAAGATGGACAAGATGCTCCTGGAGAGTGAGCTTGCACTCTCAGTCATGTCCAGCTGAAAAGGCTGCACCTCCCAGACAGGAACATGGAGGAGGTTCCTGAGTTGACTCTCAATGTCAAGATTATTCATCCTCAGGTGGTTGGTGTAATTAAGAAGGTGGACATGGGTAAGAGCCTCATTTACACTCAGTGAAAGACAATCCAACTTTAATATTTCAATTGTGTTGCTTCTTAGTCTACAAATAAGTAATTCTTTATATTTATAATCCATATATGACATGTACTGTATTATGCAGCATCTAACTTTGTGTCGATAAAAACTTCATGAGTTTTGAGTGACATAGTTTTTTTTTTACTCTTAAAGGCAAATGCAAAATAGCAAATAACCTAATAAATTAAACTCATTCACTCATATATAATGTGTAATAATAATTTATTGTTCACAAAACCATTTTATATCGCTGTTGAGAAAAGTTGCAGCTTGAACTCACCCCTTTCAAGTGGAGTCAGGCTGATGGTGTTGCTGTCAGGTGGCCCTTTTCTGGTTTTAGGAAATGTTTTATTTATAATTATCATGTATAGTTTGTGGTTCCGACCCCACAGAGAAACACTATTCTAAATGGATGCCACCAGTCTGAGAGATTTTACAACAAATACTGAGGAATTCTAAAACCTGATGAGAAAGTAAAGAGTTGGAGTCTAAATCCTAAATAAAGTGTTATTGTCTCAAGAATTCTTTCTCTCCTTATTTGTGGTTCCAGTTCTTTAGGTGACTCTTTCACTCAATTACTTCCAGCGCAGTTTTGTCTTTCAGTCTATTTATTCTCTACAAACTCTGTCCATGGAAAAAAGCTTCACACTTACACTGACATAGGGACATGAGTTGGAGACTGAGAGACATTTCTAACACTCACCTCTACAATGTCAGAGTTGGTTCTGCTCTCGTGTGGTTCGTTGTACTCTGTGTATTTCAGTAGGACTTTGTCCATGTCGGTGCTGGCGTACTGAAACAGCTTGTTGGAGCTGTTAAAGATGATGAGGGCGATTTCACAGTCACACAAAACGCTCAGCTCATAGGCTTTCTTCATCAGCCCAAACTTCCTCTTCATGAACGTCACCTAGAGAGACAGACACCAAGGATATAAAATATCCACAGACAAAATTCCAATTTAAGAAAGCGACTGCATTTTAAATAATTTCATTTTTAACAGCATAATCAGTAGATTTTTGTATATGCCTTTGAACAAATCCTGACCCTATTTGCATTTGGGTTACAAGTATTTGCTCATCACTCCCATCATAACTGTGTGATCATATCGTGGGGAGTGGTTAAGTCGGAGCCTAAACGTCAAACACTAACCTGTTTTACTGTTGCAATAAACATTTGACCGTGAGTTGTCTGAGTTTCTAACAGAAATCTGCCCCAAAAAAAATATTCACAGGGGTGGGTGTGCTGCAGCCAATCCCAGCTCAGACTGGGAGAGTGGCTGGTGACACAGCGGACATGTTGCAAGTGTATCACAAGACAAGCAACCAAGAGGCGGCAGCGCTAACCACTGCTCTGTCATTTCTCTTGGTGTGTAACTTCCTCCCCGCAGTGAGTCAGCTGTGTTCTTGTAGGTTTGTCTTCTTGGATCCTGACTCATATCACAGCTAGAGGCCTTCTCTGACACTCATGTCTTCTCACACCTCCAGGATTTATAGTGATGTTGAGTATTGGGTTATATTTCCTGAAGTGTATACATGTTCACAGCTCTGCACACCGTAATCTTCTAATGTTGGCTTTTCTGGAGAAGTGGAGTTTGGGTATTTGCTTAAAGGCACCATTACAAATGTTTGAGAGGAGGGTCAGAGTCTTGTTCAATATTTTACAACACAAAATATTAAGACCAAAAGTGAGTACAACTGCAACGAAAACAGTCGACTGCAGGGCACAGTAATTTGCATTCTCAGAGGAAGTATAATCCATCCACAGTTTGGCCAACAGCGGTTTTCCAGTTTCACTTTCTCCCCAAAGGTTTGACTTGGTGTTCTGCCAAATGTTGCAGTTTACTGAGGGGAAGTATAAAATGTCCTATAAACATAACTTGGAAGAGAGGTGAGCAAGAACAGGACGCTCTTAATCACAGCGACAGACTCAAACAAGCATGTGTGCATTTCATGTGGACCAGGAGAAAACCCCCAGTCTCCTATATTTTCTCTGCTACGTGCTCCTGAAATGAACAATCAAACTCCTCTATGACTCGTCACCTCCTCACTGTCACTGGTTATTCACTTGTCACAGGAAGATCCCCACATTTTCTGACCTCTGTGCAAGAAAGAAAATGAAGTGCTTCCATCAATGTGGACCTGACTGGACATCAGATAACTGTCATGAGAGTTAAGTGTGGACTATGTAGGTTAAATGTGTGGAACCCAGTAACTTAAAGCCACTCTTTATCTCCTTTCCTACTTGGAGGCTTTTACCAAGGGAGCTGAAGAGAGTACCAATATGCATGACAGTACTGTGGCTTTATACTGGATATGCTGTACCACACAGAGCCAAAGAGGGAACCATATACATGATTTAGTCTTATGTTTGCTCATAAAAGTATAATATTCTTTAAACATTCAAACATTATCTTAATCGGTCTAATATAAGGTCATTTGTCTCCAATACAGTTTAAATTGTTTTTGAAATGTCTGGAGAGTAAAGTGTCCTGAGCCAAGACGTTGAATCTCCTGTAACATCCCATGTTCCAGTTCAACGTGGTCGACCGAGTTCATGTTCAACCAGGCTGAACATTTCCACTAATGCTAGAGACTCTGCAGAGTGAAAATATAAATCCAAATATAAATCTGGTTCAATAGTGATATTGATATTTATTTATAAGTATCACTCCCCTGAAATTGGCTGATTTTCTCAAGATACATGTATCATTATCTGAGAAATTAATGAGAATGTTTTAAAACACCTGATCTCACAATGTTAAAGAAAGTGAAAACTAAATTCCTGGTTCCACCCCATGATCTGGATCCTCATCAAATGTAATGGGCTCTCTTGGGTGATGTCCCACCCCTCCACAAAAGGTCATGGAAAAACGGTTAAAGGTCCAGTGTGTAAGATTCAGGTGAAAGGGAACTATCATGAAGTTTTCACTAGTTCGTTTCATCTAAATTGTATGTATTGTTTTATTTTTACCCCAGAAAAGGCCCTTTATATTCAAAGAATTTATATTCACATCGAGGGGGTCCTCTCCACGGAGGCCGCCATGTTTTTTACATTAGTCCATACTGGACAAACTAAACACGTTATGAGTTTTTATGACATCTGAAGCTACCACAGTTTCTTTTTCATGTTTGGAAGGAGAGGGTGGAATGAGGGGTCTTCAGCTGCAACATGAAATTTCAACACTAGATATCACAAAATTCTACACACTGAACCTTTAAGTAACTTTTACAGCCCTTCTAAAAAACAAACGCAGATCAAAACATAACCACCTTGATGGAGATAATGATCATACTCACTGAAAAAATATTGCATCAGTAACTAGATGAGATGATAGCGTTGAAATGAACAGTTCTCACTATAATTCTATGGGTATTTAAAAAGGGTATTTAATGTTTATTGGCAATAAAGTTTGTTTTTTCATTTTTTTTTTAAACAAAGTTGAGCATGACTTGAAAACATATTTGAAAAGAGACAAGAGATAAATACCTTGTTCCTCTTTCTGAATACATGTGTGCTGAAAGCTGATGAATCGATAGCATATCTCTTTACTACAGCACCATATGATCTGCATAGTGACTATTAACAGTGTGACGGTTTAAAGGAAAAACAGCTATAACACTCGATGCACTTGACAGATAAAAACAAGAACAGACCAACTTCCCAAAATAGAGTGCGAGAACCTAAATTTACAGCAGGCTCCAGTGATAGTGCACAGCTAAAGCAGTGTCTATCTAAAAATGGTCTGACCATGACAGCCAAACATCAAATATAAACATCATCCCAGATATTTATTTTCCAGCCACATCCCTATTTCCAGAGCCTGCGCCTTCCCTCCAGACAGGCTGGTATTTGTTGTGCTGTTGGAGGTGATATATATAGAGGAGACAGACAGAGAGGGATTCCAGTGGGCAGCAGTGTGGCAGAGCGAGGAGACTGTGAGGAGAGAAGGCCACTGTGTGTCCCTAACGTTGACCCACCCTACTAATGACAGGGTGCCGCTCGGACCCAGCTAACCCCAAATTACTGCCCTCGCCACCAGCTGTGACCACTGCACTCTGAAAAGAGCAGCTCACACGAGTTCTTTAGACTGAAACTACAGGGGGTACGCACATGGTTCCTTGAGGGATCCCTTTACAAAGTGTTCCTCGAACCTTTCAATACTTGCACATCATACAATATTTTGTGTTCCTTTTCAAAACTATGATATCCACTTTAAATCTGCTTGTTGTCCGTTTTGGATCTTTGGATAAATGGGACTCACTTATTTTAGAGTGGGCTCTCAGCAGGACTCGTAGGGCCACACATCAAAAAATCATCAGATATCATAAAATAAAAACCTAAATATAACAACTGAAACATTCCACAGCAGTTTGTATTGATGCATGTTGTGATACAGACGGCTGACGAGATGTTTAACAGAGTAGTGTCAGGAGAAAGGAACTTAAATGGTCATAATATAGAAGACAGAATATAAGAAAGGGACACTGACCTGTCGGTTCCTCTCATCCACGATCCGTGTGATCTGGATCTTCTTCCTCCCCATTTTCCAAACACCTCCCGGTAAAAGTCGAGGCAGAATATCAGTAAGCTCCAGGTAGTGAAGAGTTCAACAGGCACTCGTCAACATATAGTCCCTCTGTCAGCTCTGTCACTCCAGGAACAACTTGGCATGGCTTGCTGAAAAAGAGCAAGACAGAGACAGAGTCAATTTAATCCCAGTGTCAGTGAGTCCACACAGCACCAGCAATGACACAAGCAGGTATATTCAGCCAAGGCTTTCCAATAGTGCATCTTCACAAGAGCATCACTTGACAAGGGCTCATAGACTCTTTGCATCTGCACTGACAAACACAGGTTGTTTGCAAGACTGAAGATAATACCAAGGAACTCAATTCAGTAAATTACATCTATACAGATCTTCTCATATTTGCAAATGGCTGCTGATTGCAGTCTATCTCACTGCTATCTCCACAGTCCTTGGATGGAGTGTCACCAGGGCAGAAAGAACACCCAGGTAAACTGACCACCCAGCAACAAGGACATGATCCCTCACCACATTCCCTAACACAATCAAACAAACCCACTGTCTTTGCTGGAATCCAAAATTCAATTATGTCACCAATCTAGTGCATCTCCTTGATAGTGCACCTTGTCTATCTTGCTCCACAGCAATAGTCCGTCATGTGCACCAGCATGTTTGATCCGGGAAGTCTTGAGAGTGAACTCGCCTCCTGTCTCCAGCTTGCTCCTCTTGCAGGAAAGCACACCTGCCTCGCTGTGTCCCTCCTCAGCCTCAGTGCCTCTCAGCCCTGCCTTACCCCAGAGCTCCTTAGCTCTTTTCTAATCTCATCTGATCTGGGAGGAGGCAGAGAGTGGGGCGAAGCCAGGCTTTATCCTAACCCTCTCTAGATTACTGCAGCATGTGGAGCCTAGAGCTGAGCCACCAAAACCCTCACTGCACATCCAGTCCACTGGGTTGGGAGATGGGACAAATGCATTTGTCATGCACGATGCAGTAGAAATCTATATTGGTGACTTTTTGCTGATTTAAATTACCACTACATTTGATGGAAGATAATGCACCTAAATGCTCCATAGAGCAGAAGAATAATTACAATCAAATGGAAAATGTTGATTTGAAATGCATTTAAAGCCTACTTGCCATTTCCTGAAGACTTCCTCAGCCCGCCCTGGCCGTGTGCCATTTAAGTGATTGTTTCTGTGCTTCCTATTGGAAAAACACTACTATCTCATATTTCATGTTTATTTTTTCATCCTTGAACGTTCTGAAGCTCAGCTGTATGTAATGGTGATTGCTTTGCAAGATGTCACACGCTATTGTCTAAACCTTCCAGTTCACCACCAGCTCAGATCCCAGCTGACCCTGCCACGTCAGTCCCGTGTACACACTGTAACAAAGACTCCTTACATATTTGGGATTTAAAGGTCACAAGGATTTATCGGGTTTTTTTCAATCTGGATGATTAGATGGCAAGACAAATATTTTGAAAACAGGACAACAATCATTTCCACTTCCTCTTCTGAGTTTCCATTTCCAAGATAAAATACTTTTCTTTCAGCATGTGCTCTTACATGAAGGCTGCGTTTGATTGTTTGATTAATGCTGAGTCTGGATCAGTTGAAAGTTGTCGACACTAAAAGTCACTCGTCAGTTCTCTGGTCTAGTTAGGAAAGCCTGGAAAACCAGTAAAGAACATCTTTAGAGAACATCTGTAACGTATAGTTCAAATATTGTGTTAATAATAATGCATTGATCCGCTAAGACACAATGCAGTGGTTTCAATTGATAATCAATCTAACACACTCTAAATCACAAAACCAAAACTGAATTAAATCTGCTCTCTTGTCAGGATTGAAAAGTTTTATAATTCATGAAGTAATTTA